GCTGCGGGCAATGGGACCTACTAAAATGATCAACGCGTTTCACATCATCAAACGTCTAAAGGGTAGAAATGCTACACTTCCGGTTTTGAATGTGTGAAACTATACTATGCAAATGACGAAAAATAGCATTTTTTTTAAATGTTAAATGTTAGGATTCGTCAGCCTTTTTTAAACAATTATATTAATTATACAAATAAAAATGAGATATTCAATTGATTTGATTTGATATTTTTTCTCCATTTTTAAAAACAAAAATACAACGAAAATTAGTTAGATATGTGAACACCTCAACTCAACAGATCAAAGGATACGGGATAAGGATTATAACACACGGATTAATAAGGCTAAACACAATTATTTACATATGTGCCAGTAGATACACAAGTCCCGCTAAATGGTCACCACTTTCCAGATCATGATATAGTGTAAGGTAGTAATGTAACACGTCGGGTGTTGATGGCCAATCTGAACCCGTCAAATCCTTACTCTCGTACATCTGTATACCGAAAAGATATTTGTATGGTAATGGTATAGGCTCAATTTGATAAAAAAAATATATTTTCGCAAGATAAGGGCAAGTTGGTCTGTTTACTTTATTTAGTTTTTTTGTTTGGTTTTTTTTTTTTCAATTCTCGACAGCTGAATAAAATTAGATGTATCTCAACATTGGCTCTGTAGACTTAAATTTAAATATCCACGTCACAAAACAAATCAAGAGATTTGATTAAATCGACAAAACACAGATGTCTAGTCATTTCAGATTTAATTCTCAGTAAATATTATTTGTATTGCTAAAATATTCAAATTGGCATAATAACAAGCGTTTGATATAACTTTAATTTCTTGAGCAACCAATAAAATGTACTATTGATGGACTTCTATTACTGATATATTGAACACGTACAATAAATATTTATTACATTTGATAATTATTCAGGTACCATTAGATATGCGGTCAAAACAATAGACATGACAGAACATAAAATACGTAATTAACATATATGTTGACATAAGTGTTTAAATACGGAACCAAGAAATGTAATCAAATTCTAAAATGTCTGCTTATCCATTATAAAGTAAAAGTAGTCATTTCACAATATTATTACTAGTTCTAAGAATTCTTCGCCTTCGTCCTAAAATTGATTCGAGAACAATTACAATATTTTCTCGCAATTCTTATTAAAGGATGCCGCGAATCTGTTCGCGTAACCTTAAATATCGACATTATAAATAATTTTAATACTTGAGCAATATTTGTGTAGTCATAACTTGATTTTTGCTTTTTGCCATTAAACTATATTAATGCTATACTATTAACTATGCTACATCTTACCACCTATAAAAAACAATCTCTTATCACCTATAATGTTAGAGACTATTTAGAAAGGCAATACAATATCATATATTCGCTTAACTCTTTGTTATTCCTCCATAGTGAATTTTTTTAGTTTGATAAAACAAAATTTTGAGGAAATCAAATCCATTGTGTGATGTTTGGCGTCATCTACACTGTGTCTGGTGATATTGTGGGTCACAAGATCTCCTGTATTTTAATCAAATTTGATCCAAGCTACAAATGCTTGTGAAATCAAAGTCATTTGTACCGGTTATTATTATTCATAACACGGTCGTTTTATTCGATATGATGAATTAAAATTACTCTTTAGCTTAATCACGATTGTGTATTTAGCTAATGGAACGGCCATATTGGGAGATAAATTGACGACACGATCCTATCGATATGTTTAGTCGGGTTTTAAAAACCAAGATGATATTCGCAGATTGTTATCTTCATTCTTTAAAGACATTTTACTTCGGGTCTGTCGAACGCGTGCGGATCGGTTCCGGTACCTTGTATTCGACTGCTTTATGGCAGACATATTACTCGTGGGTACACAAATACAAGCAAACGATTAAGCATGACTTTATCATCGCTTTACACAAAAATCTCATTCGTTTAGCCGTCTCACGAACTTGAGTAAATGATACTAAGTCAACATGGCGCGTAAAAACAGGTAACTCTATCCCACTCACGGCTAATCTAATCCAAAGGCCACGTCAATGATGCTTTAAATTTGAATACAATTAATCGTGAAATATGAATAAAGATGAATATTAATAAACCTCTCTGTTTAGCAACGTTTTAACTTTGGTTGTCATATCAATATTTTCCAATGATAAAAAGGCAAATTGTGCTTTAATTGTCATTGAAGGAGGGCAATTTACGTTTCTTGACGACGCCAGGTCTAATATTACTCCTTTCGTTTACACTTCTTTTATTAACGAGGTCACTAATGTACGGATCAGACAGAAACGTGGACAGCCCCTGTCGTTTATTATTAACGTTTCTCATTCTTAATTCAATCCGCGAACCCTCCCCGAACAAGCGCTGTTTAAATATGGAATTCTGTCTGTTTTTGTACAATTGTTTGCATTCAAATAGATTTGAACTGTTGAGATCATTGATGATTCGGGGGGTGACAAGGCAAACCATTTTACAATTTACAGAGTTACCTCTAATTGATGCGGACCATTTTTATTGGCAGCCAGAACAATAAGACGATGTGTATAGACAGGTTGCTGACCGACCAGGAACAGATGGGGATATGATATTCCACGAACTACTTTAAATCCATCAGACAGCGTTTAATACATTTACATAGATCATCTGACTACGGGCAACATTAGACAGGGGGTAATAATAATGACACCGGGGTAGATCTTTCTGGAATTTGTGGGTGGTCTTTCTTATAGAACATGTATAGAATTTTAATAATCATCTAAGTTTTCAGGATAAATAAAATTCAGAATTCAACGTAACTCCGCAGAACGAAAGCGAATTAGATAGTAGTAACTTACTTGTTTAGAGTGTGGGGTGTTGGAAAGGGTACGCATATACTGCTCAGTTATTGGCACCTGTTACATGCTTAGGTACAATCAAGATGTTGGTGAAAGCAGTAGTTGGTGTGTATTTAAATATGTACAAAAAAAACTTCTGAGTAAAAGGTTTTAGTTTAAGACTAAGGGCCCATTTCATTTTTCAAAATCCTACAGCGGTTTATAACTAGTTGTCGAGGTTACATATAATTCATATACTCGTTTTACTAGTTCCTTTTAATAATATCTGTTCTATGAAACAATGGTCATGTGTATTTTTCATATCCGTACCATCTTAAATGTTCTTCCGTTTTTTAGTTTCTCTTTCTTCCATCATTTTAGAAAGGCTTACTTTAAAATTAAAAGATTACACAGAAATATGACCTCAGAGATACGTACGCATACATTACGGAAGAAACATCAGTTTCATTAGAAATCAGACGAAATTGAATATCCGTTATATAATGTCCGAAATAATTGTACGTGTATTTCAACAAGAACGAAAACGTGACTGAACGACAGCGATTTCCAAAACTACATCGTCATTGTAGTAAACGTAACTAATCAAGATAAATTACGTTTCGATATTGCCGGCTATGAAATATATTTTCATTTTCTCTTTGTTTAAAATCAACTATGAAATTTATTTTTCAAATAATACTTTTTATCAAGTCATAAATGAAAGCAAGAAATTTATTTTTAAGAGAATACTTTTTATCAAGTTCTAAATGAAATCAAGTGACGTTTAATGTTTTGGTTTACTTTTGTACACTAACCTGTGTATTAAAGACGGGGGGGGGGGCGCCATAAGGTCTGTCATTGAGTCAAGTGGCGTGGTTTCGATTCCCCGGGTGTACGTGACAAGGCGTATGGCCCCCTATCCAACCTCGTGGGGTTTTTTCCCGATATCTCCGGTTTCCTCCCACTGCTAAAGATCCGTGCGTGCAAGCGAATTAATGAAATAAAATTGAACCACATGTTAGTCCCTAAATGACCTTGTTTGTGTCGAATGGACGTTAAACTCTCTCTCTCTCTCCATCTCTCAATTATAACATTAGTCTTTCGACTATATCCGTATACAGATATATTTTGTCATCTCATGGCGCGCTGAGTAGTTTTTTTCTGGAGGTATAAATTTTGGGCGACAGAAATGTTTGATGTGGATTTGAGGGAATGTTATTATCGAAAAGTTTATAATAAATGATCAGGTATTTAACTCTTCAGTGTTTAACTTATAATTGATAAATATGATCAATGTATTTATATTATCTTGAAGTTAAGTGCGATTTGTTGTAAGTCTCTTGATCGGTCTTATCATTTTTATAGAGACTGGTCAATGTTTCATAAGGCGTGATTATCAAAACATGCGAAGTGGTCTTGTTGAGGAGGTCGTCGAGTTGTAGTTAAAAGTCGAATTAATTGAAGATATCTTATTATAAATGAAGTGTACAGAGCACTGATAAAGTTGATCCAACATGTGAGTAAAGATGGCCTCTTCAGTGGGTAATATTGTCGAACAGTTTGTTGTAGAAGGAGAGCTGTTGAGTTATCGAGTAGTTGGTGGAGTGGGGTAGAGTGGTCCACGGCTAACTATAACACGACCATCTGATAATTATTCATAAAAACATATGTATTGATAGACATTAGTCGTGCATAATTACCATTCATAAACCTTTTTATTCATAGACTAAGTTAGCAAATATTACGCCGATGGGTTTCAAATGAAACGTGCTTGTTTGTATGGATGTATACTGCGATGGCTTCGGCTTATTGATGAGCAATAAAGAAGGATCCCCCAACCGAAACAAAAGCCTCGCAACCCAATAAAAGCTGGGCATTGATTGAACATTATAGAAGTAATTTGCCGCTCGTTTAGAATAGATTTTTATCTCCCGTTTTTGTTTCGCTTGTCCGAAGTCGTGGCTTTCTGATCGTACACACCTGAAAATAAATCAATTAAGTAAAGAAGGTGGCGCTAAATGCGCAATCGACCAATGGGATGCGTTCTCTGACTTAAGCCCGTACTCCCTACTGCTGATCAGTAGTTAATCCCGCCCCTTTGCTATCGAGGAACCTATCAGAGAGATTTTATGCTTGTTTATTATTCTTCGAACAATGAACTTGTAGCATACATGGATGCTTCCTTTATGCAATCGGCGTGCTTAGTTGGAGAGGTATTTCAACCTGTGACAGTGAAACACTCGAAACAGTTCGATCAACATTTTAACTGACTTGAAATAATTCCACCAATACAGATGGAAACTCAATTGGCCATGAACGGACTACAAAAATCCACTAGTTTTTCCGTAAAAGACTTGCTGGATTTACCGGAGGCTAACATTAAAGGACAGTGTGCCAGTCCCGTACTAGGGACCACAGATCCCGCGGTTCCATACTTCGATACCAGTGATAATCCATACACACGCTGGCTTCAGAACAACGACCCACTGCAGTTTCAAAGTAAGAATTTTAAACCATGTTTTTGATTCTGTTGTGTGCATTGCGGGTTCTTCGATTTGTTTGGCAGTCTAATTAGTATCCGTATGCAATCTACAGCAATGTACTTTGATTCTAATGCCATCAGATATCTTTGGAGTCAGGTTTGAATTAAGAGTTGATGCTGTTAAAATCTATCGAAACGTTTGTGGTATTGATATTCATGTAAGGGTAGGCGCTGTTCAATCATAGTTTTTGTTAAGTCCACGTATTTGCTCAGACAAGAATATTGAATAAGAATGGTTGGTTTTTAAATTTGAACTGATTTTTGTTAATATGCATATGATGTTTACGATTATATAGGTTAAAGTTGTTATTTAAAAATAGAACTCCTTGTCCTATTTAGTTATATTAATATTATTATCCTCGTTCTGTATATTATAGTAGTAATTTCATATTCTAAGCGAGTCCTGTTATCGCTTTTGACTGAATTTTATCTATAGGCTTAGTCGTAACCCCTTTTATCACTTTGGTTATATTAAGGTTTATGATCGCTTAAGTAGTCCAAAACCACGAATAGACACTCCTTGAAGAAAGAGCATTTCCTTGAATATACCTTAAATATCTTGAATAATATGAATGAGAATTTAATCGAATAGAATTGGAAAAGGCATTATTCACTGCAACAGTTTAAAATAGCTTGAAGTGTATAACTTTTTTAGGGAATAACACCAAAGCGAGTATAAAAAGAAGAAAAATGAAAGCGGGTTTATAATAGTATGAATTGAATAGTTCGACAGACGAAGTAACCTAAAATGATAAACAAAATTGTTATCTGTGAATCGATATAAATCGATTTTATCCCAGACTTTAAATGCTTTAGTTTAAAACGGGTTTCTTTAATATAATATTTGCTGCTCGTTTAATTACCCGTAATCGATCAAAACAAATGCATATAAATATTCGGGTTATCGTTTCTAAAGGAAGTTCAAATTGCCGTATATCAAAATTATAGGCTATTTCGATAGTTATATCGTTTAGAGTTTCCGCATACCAACAAATTATTATCAATGAAAGATATTCCAAGATTAGATGTTCCAGCAGTTATATAGCGTGCCCTAGTTTAGTACAAATATTTTGGTAGCTATTATTTGAACTATGCATGAAAAGCCTGCAACATTTCGCAGTTTGAGAATATAGGTTTAGTTTAGTTTCTTGGTAGTATCTTCGCGTATCACACTGTACTAATCAATGAAATAAATGTGATATATACGAAGAAAGGGTTTTCTCATTTCAAGTTAATTCAACTTCTTTTTTGGGCATCTTTAGATTGCATACAAAAAATATCGCTGCATCAATTTTATCAAATAAATAAATCTATATAAAGGTTTAGTTTTTTTTTAGTTCAAGGTAATCTCACGTCTTCTATCGCCTTTTTTAAAATGATATATTATTGGATTTCATTTTTTATTGAAGCCGATAGTAAGTTTATTGTTCACGTAAAGTAAGTAACTACTTTGAGTATTTACTTTTGAAATTTACATTAAAGGACCATATCACCGAAAGACATCTCAAATATTTCAAAGTACATCACTGCTCTTTACGGCATAAATTTTCTATTTTAAATATAAGCTTACGCATTTAGCCTACATGCTGATCTCTATATTTTGAAATTGGTGTACAGACATGTTTATATATTTCTAAAATAAAACGTCTACATTGTGTTGGTTTCAAGTCAATTATCAATTAAGTGCTATGTATTTCGTTAAGTACCTTCTTCAAATCTAAAGAGAACATCTATTTAAATTTTCTATTTCTGAAAATATTATTTTCCAATTAACTTAGTTTTCTGCTTTAATTTGAAATGCCTGTAATTTTGTAGCTTAAAATTGTAAGCCATACTTTTGTTGTTAAATGTCTGATTTACATTCAAAGTTAGCAATTAAAGTTTTTTAACACATATAATAAATGTGACGGAGACCGGATATTCTGAATAATGTAGTCTGTAGTAAATTTAGATTTTACACGAAATTTAATAGGGTTCCGTAATTGTCTCTTTAAATCTAAAATTGGATTATGTTATATGAGGTCTGAAAAGCTCCGCCATCAAAATATTATCTCAAACCCGAACTACCTTATATATCTTTATAACTAACTAAAACTTTCATTCAGTCCAGGGGAAGTCAAATATTGAAATTTTAAACATTGGAACATTTATATGAGTTTTATTTCGCTTGTTTCTAGTATTTAAAGTTAATCTTCAGCCATCAGATAATACACGGTATATCTATACTTTTATAGACCAACAAACGTGTATTCAATAAATACGTTCATTCCCTTATTTTATAGTATACAGTTTTGAGTTTTAATGGTAGATCACTAATATTTTAACCTGTGGAACTAGGGAACAATATGAAATTTATAAATCCCTTTAGGATCCTTGTAGGCCACTAATTACTTTCAAAATTTAAAATTTGATTTAATTTTTCAGTAATTTTCTTTAATTTCTGTTAATTCCATTTAAATAATGTCTCTAGTCAATTACGATAATATTTAATAATCATAAATAACTATTTGAAAAAAAAATGTGAAACTTTTGAAGTCTTTTTAAAATATTATATGATGTATGAATTATTATGTTAATAATGAAAACTTTAATATGAGTACTGTACTTATATTAATCAATAATCAATTGATAGAAGGATGCGGAGTTTCATATGGAATATATTGACAATGAAAATTTAATTTAAACATGTTTACGTATTCTTCCACTATTAACAGAAAGTTGTTTTAATATCTGATGTTGGTTTATTCATAATAATAGGAATAATATTGTGCCAAAACCTAAGAACATACTTACAAAGGTGGATATGATATTATTCTATCTACAGCGGAAGGTATTCTTTAAAATTATGTTTACGTACAACATACAAATATCAAGAAACAAGGACCCTTAAACCCCGTGTCAAAGAATAACAACAAAGAAAAACAACCAGGAATGCAATTAATCAAAGGCGTATAAAATATATTCTATAAATAAAAACAATACAGAGAAGAAATATAAATATATACAAGTAAAATAAACGATAGATGTGAATCGATTTGAACCTTGTTATATAGTTTATATTGTCAACATTGTAGAGATGGGAAACTTATAAAACCTAGTTTATCTTAAACCTACTCGTTTCCTTGTACTAGACCTTAAACTAACACATCCTCTACATAGACAATCCGCCATTTCTACAATGGCCGCTTATTAATCTGTAAATAATATTATAACACCCGTGTTTATTAATCATTACACCGAGTAGTTATTGTTTTATGTTAACACAATACTTAAGACAATTTTCCTAAAGAACCCGTATTGATGTTCGCCTTTCTAAGTGCGCGTGAAGATTCACGAGCCCTCTCATCCTTTTATTGGATGCTTTCTGTAGTAATTTTTCCCAGTCTTAACGGATTGACTATATCGATTCGAAATTGATTCCTTTTTTTTTTACATTTTTAACACTTGCTTCGGGTGCCTGAGAAAATTTTGTAACGATTTAATGAAAATATTTTGATTACATCTTAGCCTTGGGATAGTGTTGAAATATAATCGTAAGAAGCAATCGATAAAGACATGCATAAGGATATAATACATAAGTATTCGTTATTCTTAAGAAACATTGATTCTTGAATACTTATAAGACAGTCGCCAAGATTTAATAATAAACGTTTAAATAATTGATTGAATAAAACAAAACATTTATTATGAATGAAATGTGCTAATTACATAAAAAGTACTTAAAACAAAGGCATCTTATCTTTAAGGAAACCCATAAAAATAAAGATATATCAATTATTGTCCTTAAAGTGGCGATACGTCTTTGCAAACTGGAATAATTTTTGTCTATTAATTAACATACTAATTGCTAATACATTATTAGTTTAGAAATAATGCAGCCCTTGGGAATATAATCGCTTATTTATTTTTCTATAACGCCACTTGAAACAAAAAAGAAGAAAATGCCATTTTAGTTGCGAACTAATTTAAATAATTGAGTTTTCAAACTCTGTATTTGAGAATACATCATGTTTGAAGGATACAGTTAGCTGTAGATGACTGTTATATAAATATCGTTTCACCCCATGCAAATACTGAGCATTATCTTTGTTTATGAAATAATAGAAGTATTGCTATTCTAAAGGAATGTTATTAATTTACTTTAGTGAGCTTTTAATTGGTAATTAAAAGAAAAAAAATAACTTAGTTTAAGGTAAAATAAATAAAAGAATACACCAATAATATTTGCTCCGTGGCAAGGCCCATTAAATCATTGAAAGGTATCTCTTTTATTTAAAACAAAAGATAGGCTTGCCTTTACTTCATATCATAAAGCTATTTAAAAATAGTAATTGTCACACAGTGACTCGTAATTTTTATATATTACATCATAAATTATCTTTACAAACATTTGTTAAATCGTAAGATAAAACTGAAGTATGACTATCTTGACTCCTTAACAAGCTCTTAATCACGGATTAACTTTATGCTATAAATATCTATATTTTATTCTTATTTTGAGAGCATTTGATTTCTTTTAGCAATATATAGAATGTTATTCAAAATAATTATTCAAGAGATTATAAAGTTTCTCTGTGCATATAGGTTTCAGAGCTATTAATATTATTAATACTAGTCTAAAAACTGGGACAACTTTTGAATATATTAATACTTGTCTAAAACTATAACCTGGGACAACTTTTGAATCTATTAATACTAGTCTAAAATTGTAACCTGGAACAACTTTTGAATCTATTAATAAATGTAAAACTACAATCTAAAATGTATTGCTATTCATCAAACCCTGAAACTAGTTTAAAGAATTGGACGAGACGGTCTCTATATGATCAGTATACAACAGGGGTTTCTAATATGTTTCGTCCCATTTACCTCTAGCTACTTTTCCAAAGAAAATTCACCCTTACCCTATTTTGTTCAGTAAATTGAGTTTACACATCTACCATAATAAAGAAACCGAAAAAGGGGTAAATTTTAGAATATGATTTTAATAATAATATTTCACGGTCAACTATAACAGCATAAAAAATAATGCTGTTTCACTTATTTTCTTCTCAAATTCTGTTTTTAAAAATTATAATTGAAAAAAAATATCTTACATAATCCAGAATCAACCAATGTAGCTATCGGGTAGGTAGGTAGGTTAAATGGTATACACCGTTTTTGCTGATTTGGCATGGAAAAATAATAAGGTCTTAATTTCACATTAACGTACACAAAAGCAAATGAGAAATATGTTAGCTATGTGAATCCCCCAAACGAGAAGAGGTATCAGCATTTCATTTCTTATTTTGAGAAAGGGATTTTTCATTAAGTTATCTGGTGCATAATAAGTTATTTCGAAGACGTTATTTCAGCAGCAATCTCCTAAAATGTCTATTATAATCTGTGATAGGTTTCATGTTTCTGAGGTCGATACTTTCCCCTTAAAGTCTTTAACACGTGTTCATAAATCCACTTAAAGATTATTTAAAATGTGGCCGGAGGGTAGTTTATCTATCTACTAGTATTTTATATAGAAATGTCTACTAATAGCTGTTCAACCTTTTATATAATAGCTTGAACAGTTTACACTTGGCGGTAACAACTGTTCAACTTAACAAAGATGTCCTTTTTACAACAAACATTTTCCGGGGTTATCAAAACATATTTCTAATATAATTTTAGTTATTACAATTTCAAGTTAAGGTGTTGTACTAATGTTTTATTGAAAGATAGGGTAGTTGATATAAGAGTATATCTATGTATGTATATAGAATACAATATAAGTAAAAGGCGAAGTGGTTCTTATGTTCCGCGATATATCTACACACAATTATATACCCCCGTGTATCTATATATATAAATATATTTGTCTATGTACTATCGTAGAAATATTAAATTATGTTGTATAGTTGATCTATTATAATAGATATCCTCTCTTAATCCAATATAATAAAATATAGAAGAAGGCGAAATCGGGAAAAAAAAGGTGAAAGTTGTATACATTATAATCATTGATGCGTAGTACTTTTTTTTATCAAAACCCCCACTTCAACCTTAATAAACATTTCAGTTACATACAACCTTTCTACTACATTTATTTCCATTCAGATCAACCCACAGTTCCCTTTATTCAACTATCTCTATGTAAATCGTTGTCCGGTGTGGCTTCGCTTTACCCTTCGTCCTTTCTTATAACATGGTGATTTTTTTTTATTATGATGATCAACATTGAAAATATGAGTTAGAGAGGAAAATATTTTGAATATCTTTTTATGTCCATCTTTTGTGTAGGAATGAAGAACGAATTGTTGTCCCATATCAGTACAGCTATAATTCATTGCGTGTTTCATATCCGTTTTAGTACGCGCTTTCAAGTGTAACGTTATTACCTATAAATCCTACGATTGTGCCTTAAGTTTATTTTATAGCATTTATGATATATAGAAATCATAAACTCATGAAATATTCTTTAAAAAACTTATTTGAAGTATAAGTCAGTCATTTAATATAGATAGTTAGTATCCATTCATTAGCTAATGTACCTTCTATAACACAACTGTTATTTAGTTCGAAATGCATTCAGATATCGCTCTATAGACTGTTAAAGGTTCGATTGTATTACTTTTATCATTCAAAAAAATTAAAATACCGGAATAAACTCCATTAAACGGAGATTTCCGAAACAAAGGCGTGAATAGCATGTGTAGTCATTGTGTAAATTTTATGGTTAGGGTTCGGTAAATAGTTAGACCTATGATAGATTAATATTTAAAATAGAAATTGTTTCAAGCATATTAATCATTAATGCATGTATTATATTAAACGGTTTAGGACTTTCCAAGGTAAAGTTATAAGTGCCATTTTCCCACACTCACGTTTAATACAGAACACTATAAAACTAAGCTGCAAAAATATCAGATCGAATGAAAGATGTAAGGTTATAGTTCTTGATATTCTTATATCGACAAGTAAATAGGGATTATAGGGTTTCGTTATTCCGCACCGGACGATACTGAACTGGATTCCGCCCGCCCTTCGTCCCGAATTTGTTTCCGGGGCATATCTCACCAACTGTCCGAGATATCTTTATGAGTCGATTAGAAATTTCGTGGGTTTCGCGCGGGAGGTCAATGACTGAGTTTTCTTGGTGAAATGAAATTTAATGGGGTTTAAGGTCCTACTGTTCTGCTAATAAACTGGGAAATTTTGCCCGGGCAGCGGCGCTACGGCCTACTCTTATATCGAATTCCAACTGCTTATGAGTGTGACGAGACACTGACATTGGAAACTTGTCGCTTTTCTACATCGCTATGAAAATAATCTAACATTATAAGATTGAATAATATTACATTTTCGGAAAATGCTTTTTCTTCTTAAAAAATAATAAATTGAGGACAGGAATAACATAGAAGGATAAAACGGTGATAAGGAAATTATTTAAATATTTGCCATTATCTAAAAACACTATTATCATTATATCGAGGTTATCAATTGTAATATCTGATTTTTATTAGTTTTTATTTAATCAAAATATTTAGAGATCACGACGATCGATTCTCGAGTCAGTGGTCAACACTAGAATCCATTCAATAAGCCGGGTGTAATACAAGATCGATAATTGGTTAATAAGAGGTGTTTAATGTATAATTTGATACGCTGCTTGTTATTGGTTTATTTGTTTGTTGATCGGATTAAGCAGATACAACGCCATCTTAATACAATGGCCATAAAACGATATCAAAAATCGATCTATCTAGTTTATTGGTGATATGGACAAGAATTGTTGAGAGTTGTAAACTGTATTTCGATTGGTGTCATTGTTTATTGTGATTATTATATTTGTATGTAATATACATGTGTAAATGGATGTCTATTTCATATGGTAATGCAGGCATGCTTGTGTATTTTCATACGCACTTTTGTATATTTGCATATTATAATTTGGCCCCATGTATATATATATATAAGTATGTACAATTTATTTATTGATATTTAACAAATCGGTATGATTATGAATAATGTTGTATCTATGGTTATTGCCTAGGTAGGTTTATCTCATTACAACGTTGTATACAAGTGTATTTGTGAATTGATTCATATATTATAGGAATATTGCACCAAATATATTTTGAAATGACTGAAACTCGCTGGTTTTAGTCAAAATATTGTTGTCGAATCATTACATTGCATGTTGATTTGTTTTGTTGCATAGCAATCCGTCTTCGTTGAAAAGCTAACGTCTAAAGATATAACAAGTTTTGTGTTCCCTTAAATCACCGTAAACCCAAACTGAAATCAACATTGGTACAACAGACAGACTTCCGTTTATTCTTTCCAAACATAAAAAAATCATTATATAGCGCATGCCCCACCGACCCGATTCATTTCTTTATTTTAATTCATGAAATGATATCCCTGGCGCACGTCTTCATTAGCCCAGTCGGAGCAGAACAGTAGGACGTTAAAACTCATTTCATTTTATTTCATTGATATCCCTGACAATATTTCTATATGGGATACTTTGACTGATTTTCTAATTTTTTGAAGAAGAATATTTCATAAACCAATCTCTAAGTTTTATTTTCTTTGTGTTTTCCAGGTAGTGGACGAAATATGTCTGTATTAAACCCAAGACCAATTCATAGTCCCCAGGATGAAGAAAGTTCTAAACACGACAGTCTAAGTCATCCCACATCGCCTGACGGAAGTATAGATTCTTTAAAGATGGACGACGATGACGTAGAATTGGACGAAAAAGATAAATCGGGAACAGATCAGAGTCAAAACGGTGAAACAAAGAAAAGCCGGAAAAGGCGTGTTTTATTCTCAAAAGCACAGACGTACGAGTTAGAACGTCGGTTCCGACAACAGCGATATTTATCCGCCCCAGAAAGAGAACATTTGGCCAGTATTATTAGATTAACCCCCGTGCAGGTAAAAATCTGGTTCCAGAATCATCGTTACAAGTTAAAACGCGCTCGACAGGAGAAAGGGTTAACAGATCTCAATCCGTTACCTTCACCACGCAGAGTTGCCGTTCCTGTTTTAGTAAAAGATGGCATCCCCTGCCAGCGAAGTAGTGTTAATTCGTCCCTTATGAAATCTCAGGATCATCTTCAAATGCAATCGAACCTAAACGGCATGAACATGTCAATGAACAATGGTCTCGGTGTGAACTCTTTAGGAATGAACTCAATGAACTCATATCCGTCCCACATGGGAAGCGCGGGAAATGGTATCAGCTCGACGCTCTCAAACTCTATGAACATGAACATGAATATGAGCTGTGCGTATAGTATGAGCTCTATGGGTTCTATGAATTCTATGAATCTGAACGTACCCAATGTGAACAATATGAATGTGTTGCCTAGTTACAGTCACCCGTTGATGCAGCCACAAACAAGATGGTGGTAGTGACGTGTTGTTTATATTTGTGCCTTAACTTTATCTTATCATTGTATCACAACGTGACGTTAATTTGTGGTCAAGTATTAATTTTGGTGCCCAGAAAACGAGAATCCTGTTCTTGAAGTCATTATTTAAAGGAATTGTGTTCCCTTTAAGTCATTGTATAGGTCCCACTGAAATGTTACCAATTTATTATTATTGCCTGTCGCAAAGAGTATCAATCATATGTTTTGAAATGTATAAATGTTTAACTATTTCTATTCGAAACGTAAATTAAACTTTCCAGTTAATTGTGAGGTTAAATGTGTTATAATAAGCGCCCTCATGATAAATTAAAATTATAAACTGGGGTAGTAGAGAAGGGGATGGGGTGGGGTGGACGGACATTTAATGAGCTTACTATAAATGACTATATAAATACGCCAATAATATATTATTTATAATTAATATAAACGATATACGGGATTTATGTTTATTTGATGATAATTTGGTGCAATTATAAATTTAACAACTACTTAATTAACTACTTAATTAAATTCCTCTCTCATCGCACGTGGTTATCATAACTGCAACATGTCCATTTTCTAAAAATGTTATCGCGCCATATTCTCTTTCATAACATTGTCTTAACATGTCAACTTCGGTTCTAAAACTTTTAGACACTGTTGTATTTCAAAACCTATACTTTTAACAAAGTTGTATATACTAACCGGATAACTTTCTCGGTTAATGTAAAATTGGCAAAAGTAATGACAATATTCAAAATATCATCTTTTCCAAGATAAAATATGAAATGGATCAGGGGTCTTATTCAATAAAACGTAAACTAAAATATTGTACGAATGCAGGCGTTTCATTGGTTGAGCGTTGAAATTTAAGTACGAATTTTAGTTCTTGCCTAATGGAAAGGCTGAATTCTTAAAATATTTAAGTTTACTTTATTGTGAATTAGGCCCCATTATGCATGTATTATCCCCGAATTAAAAAAAACCCAAAGCCTTGTTATTACGTTACGTTATTTATCATATCTGATAAATATTATTTTCCATTCTTGGTATTTCAGAAACAATCACACGTCTAATTAATGTCGCAAAACTGTTAGCTTAAGCCATCCGTTCAATGTGTACTATCGATTTGAAAGAAAAATCGCTGTGAACCAATATGTCATAGAGAGACTAGGTGGTCGGTCTACCTTAAAATCCGCCATTTCTGCCCTTTAATTGTTAAGTAAAGTTTGTTGTTTTATTGTCGCATTTTGTTTTACATATGATGTATATGTATGTATAATATATTATATAAGATACATGTGTTTTTTCACCGATGTTCTTTTACTTATTACTATTGTTTGAATAAATTGTGAATATTTATTACATATAAAATATAGTTGTTTTTATTTTCGAAATATACATACGGGGAGAATGAAGTCGGTTATAAATCTTTCCACATTTAAACAGCTATTATGCAAGAGCTAAAGCTGCCCTTTGCAGGTCTTTCTTTAAGTCTGAAACGTTCTATAAATTATCAATTAGACACTAATCAACTTACCAAGACCACAATCAACTCTCGATGCCATCGGATGGCTGCGATATAAGTAGATTTAAATACGCCTTGTGGTCGATGCGGTTGCCTTAAAAATGGATAATCGAGACTTTGTTTATTATCGTAACAACTGTAGTAATGACAATCAAGGCTACAATGTAATTGTATCGCCGATCTGTACGCCAAGACTGAAGTAATGTGACTGACATTTTCAGCATATTATCTAATTTTTAACTATTATAGCGAGAACTGTCACCTCTTTATCAAATCTTACCTAATGCCGCTTTAAGTAAGAAGTTACTCACATTTCAAATCCCGCTTCTTACTAAAATATGAGCGATCATGCCCACTGATTTTCTTAATAAAATCAGAAGTGGAAACAGGTGTTCTGGAGATATTGGGTATGCTCCATTACGACGCTGTATCTATTTGTATTAATAATAGATTTTGTGCACTTTGAAATAGTGTCACGGCCGTTGGACTGATATCGGATTCGATGTGAGAGATATATAATAGGAAGTCCACATATCATAATGAATGCATTGGGATTTAGTGAAGCCCTTTAACCAGAATTATTATAGGATAACAGAATATGTCAACCACTGTCGGGGTTAGATTCTGTTTTAGTCAGGGTCCTTATTCACGAAAACTTAAACTCAGATACAATCGAAATTTTAAGAAATACTGCAATTCGATTGGCTGACCAGTAAAATCAATTTGCATATATCCAATGAAGTTGCAGTATTTCTTAAAATTTCGGTTGTAACTTAGTTTAAGTTTTCGTGAATAAGATCCCTGGTTGTTAGAAACAATGGGTGAATAGACTCTGAATTCGCCCCAGAGTAGTGATACAGGCCAGGGTTAATACTTTAGGATTACTAAAGGGAGAGAAATGGGGTTTAACGTCCACTCGACACAAACTAGGTCATTTCGGGACTAATATATGGTTTAATTTTATTTCAATAATTCGCTTGCGCATATGGGTCTTTAGCAGTGGGAGGAAACCGGAGGACCCGGAGAAAACCCACGAGTTTGGACAGGCGACCCTACTCCTTGTCCACGTACAACCGGGGATTCGAAACCACGCCAGTCGACTCAATGAACTAAACGACTGAACATAGAATAACGGTCCAATACGAAATAGGAATGATCATTCGAATCTCAGGCGATATACTGTTATCGATAATGTAAATTGTTTGCCAGGCAGCAGCGTGGTGAGATACCTATGTGGAAACTAAACAAGCAAATAGGTATGTCCATGCAACAATTAATGAAGGGATTATATATTTTGACTTTATCGACATCACGTATTTAGATGTGATAGTAGAAGAAGTTCGTGTCGCAGTTCTGTTGGGAGATTGGTACACAACGGATCTTGTATAATTTTGGGTATACAACGGATCATGTGTAATTTTGGGTATACAACGGATCTTGTGTAATTTGGGGTAAATATGAAAAGTCAGCGGAATGTACAGTATACATGCACAGGCCATCCTTACAGCATATACGCTCATAGAGAGATATTGTTGGTACAAATAAACCAGTCGATTAATACTTAAAGATGCAGTATGTAAGAGCTAAATCGGCTTATTGCAGGTCTTTCTTTTAGGTTCAAATGTTATACAAATTATTAATTAGACATTTATTAACATGGTAACATAATAATCAACTCTATAGACCATCGGATGCTCGACATTTTAATGGATTGAAACAAGATTGTCGTTTATTATTTTAATTAAAAAGTGGATAATTGCGACTTTGCTTACTATCGCAACAATGGTAGCAATGACAATCGAGACTCAGCTATTCTTCAAACAGTCATAACTTCGCTCAGAATGAAGTAATTTGACTGAAATTTCCGTCTATTTTAAAACTATTATAGCGAGAACTGTTAGCTATTTATCTACATCTTAAATAATATATCTGTGTATGACAATAGACACGCCTATTGAATAATTTAACGATTTGTTGACTGAATCTGAGACAGACAGATTTCTGAAGATGTAGCAGGAAAAATTTAACTAACGTAAGAGAATTTGATGACGAAAATTCACCCAATGATAAGTGAATCAAAGGAACCTAATTGTAGGGATTAAACATCGGTTGCCAGGCGACGAAACATCCACCCACGTGTAGCTTTGTACCCTACTTAGTATATAAAATAAAGGCAGACTAGGGCACTATTTTAATGTTTGCAGCTTGAGTCATGATCCAATCCCTTGTTGTCAGAAGCAAGACATTAATGATATAAATCACAATCATGTTCATTCAGCTTTGTACATGCAGGCAACACATTTGGTAGCTTTATCTACAATGTAGATGGTATTTTGACAGGCATTGTTACTAAAAGACACCCAAACTTGTACAAAGGGGAATAAGATAATATAAGCAAAAATCATTGACAATTATTAGGGTTCTTCATTTAAATAGGATATTATGAAATGTCACAAAGATAGATTAATTATTGCAGCCTATAAAATTCCAAGATTTCGTAACATCGACGCGTCACGCGTAAAGGATGACGTCGATATACGACTACATTAAACGACCGTATGAAAATGGATGTAGGCATTATTATGGTTTATCAGCTAAAAGTGGATACAATTTACCAGACATGGCCGAATCGGAGCTGTGGGTTAATGCCTTCAGAAAGTGAGTGCGTGTCTGCTTTTACGTCTAAGCCGATGTTGTCACCAAGAGCAAACATCAGAACCCGCTGACTAGAAACATCCAAAGTCTTTAAGTTGACTGATGGCTATAATATTTATCCATGCAACACGTAAGAAACAGCACACAAATGGGCCTGATGCCTAGAAAAAGTCGATTAATACTTAAAAAAGAAACTTGGATATTTCAACCATATTTTGAATTGAAAGCTGTATTAATTTGGACGTGACTGTCCTTCATTTCTAGGTGACTAATCACTAAATATGTCACGAGATAACGGTGTGCTATATGGCATCTTATAATTTATTATTCATAGTTCAAATGTCTTTCTTAATAATAATCTGTTCTTAGACCAGTTTTACCTAAAAATACGGTAACTCTATATCGTAGCTGTCAGATTATGGATTAGAGGTTGAAGTATGCATATTACTTACAACCCTTCGTGCATTTTGTACCTCGTCCTATCTGGGAAATATGCAAATTCTCACATTATGATAAATACGTTATGTAAACACAACGCATTAAGCTGTCCAAAGAAATATATCGTTTATTATTTTATAGTAAGTCAAATGCAAGGTTTCAGGGTTTAAATCAATATTTTCAGATATCGCCATGGACAAATAAATAATCGAAATCCATCATCGTATTTCTGCAGGTCATTCGTACGAATCAGACAATAAGAAGGCGTTCCCCAGGATTCGGTATGCGGACCTTGAGTTGCTAAGTTCATAAAGCATTAGATGGATATGTTTGTGTAATAAAATGTTTCATAGAGATGCGTATTAGCACTCTATGTCACAGCCGAATGGATAATTTTGTGTTACTAAGATAAAACAAAATACTCAAAGGCTATAGACAAGTTTGGAAAATTTGGGGAAGTCATTCCACCATCTTTAACATTTTACTCTACAAGAGCCAATTACGGATATACATGTAGTTATTCAGTTCAGTATACCTGGAACTATTTGTTCACCCCACACGTTCTTCAAACATCGAATTAAAGTTAGTTTTGGACTTGGCAATTTTATTGAATAACAAATTACATGTAATACAATATATATTACGCCTTGCTTTTAAATTGTGCGAAAATATTAAAGTTGGGTTACAATCCAGAAGAAAATAACAAACTAATTTTATTATTACTGAAATAAAGTAAAAAAAGATGGAAATAAATGAAAGTTTTATACAAAAACTTTGTCAATTTCTGCTCCAACAAATTCAAAACATTGTTAAAATCATGAAAACACGGACAGAGCAAAGTTATATGGACTCTATTCTTTCAGAACATATTGGATGATTTGATCCGAATAATTTTCACAAATTGACGTTTATGCCCGCGCTGACCAAATAATAGCCGTTGTCTGACCACCCGCATCACTGCTAGTTAATACAGAGGCAATTATCTCAACTAATCCATCTAACAGAATACCATTGCTAATCCTCACTTAATACAATCTAATATGGCGGTCAATGTTAACAATATACTTTAAGTATGATAAATGGCTGGATTGTTCACTGGCTGAAGTCATCTTATCTATAGAGCCTTAAAACATTATACTTAGATAATTTATCAGTCTTATCCATGTTTTAACGATTGTCGTGTCCTGCGCCACATTTAACACTATTTTATCTTTGCTATCTCCGCCATGTGCAATTACCCCATCCATTATGGAGTGGGATGCGTCAGTGATTAATACGACGACGAGAAAATGACTTAATTACGTCGAGAAATTAAATAATAAAGTCGTTAAAAGGTTCTGATTTGGACCATGATTTTCCAGCTCTTAATATATTAGTTCAGACCAATGGCGTATGCGAATCACTAATAAACGTGGAAGCGAAACAACTGATGTGTCAGTTTGGATGCTGGAAGTATTTTGTGCATGAGCTATTTGACAAAACAAGTTGTACTGACATCTTTATTTGTGTAAATAAAAGCTAGAAGTACCAGTGATTGTTCGATTGATGATGATTTAATAGATGAAAATGACCTAGACCAGGTGCGTGTGACACACCTTTAGCCATTGTTCATTCGCACCTCATCAGTCGAACTGTAAAACAATCACAGAGTTTCATTACGCTTGACAAGAACTGCTCGATAAACTGTAATCGCCATCCTTGATTGCTCTCTCAC